GCATTTAACACCTGAGCCACATCCCCAGCCCTTTTTATTTGTAGACAGTGTCTTACTAAGTTGCTTAGAGCCTTGCTAAATTGCTGAGGCTGGCTTTGAACTTGCAATCCTTCTGCCTTAGCCTCCTGAGCTGCTGGGATGACAGGGGTGTGCCACTGAGACTGGATGAGTTTTTGTTCTTTGTTATTCTGGAGAATTTTCTGGACAGAGTTGAGCTTGACTTGTGGGTTTATGTACCATATTTAACCCATAGTCTGTTTGCTTATATTAGATTATTAGATCTTAGATTTCTCCCACAGATTTTCTTGGGGGATCCTCTTACCCACTTCTTCCACCCTATGTCTAGGGCTATAGTATAATGTTGCCCTATTTAGCAAACAGAAACACAAGACACACAGTTAAATTTGGACTTCAGACAAATATTTCATGGCACATACTTATTCTGGAAAATCATTTGTTGTTTTCTGAAATTCAAATTTAACTAGTTATTTGAAGCTTATCTTAGTTCAGGCTAATACAAATTAATGGGTTTTTTTTTTTTACTCAATATGTCCATCCCAGTTTTATTTTTTATTTCAAATAAGTTTCATTTGATGAAGTTGGAAATACTAGGGTTACTATCTTAGATCTTCATTATTACATGTTGATTTTTCACTTTAGGAATAGAAAAGAGAAATTCTTATAGGAAATAATAAAAAATTAACAATTTTAGCCTGCCTCCTATATTCCAGGCCTGCTTCTGAGCTCTTTACATGAATCATTGAGATGAATGAAGTGTCAGTTGGCACAATTTAAGGTCCCAATCTTGGTAACATAAATACAGTCATATGCCCTAAAAGAATGTTTTATCCAATGACAGACTGCATGTGTGAAGGTGGTCACATAAAAATTATAACATAGCTGAAAAATTTCTATCACTTAGACTTTTGCAGCTGTCATAATGTTGTATTGTCATACATCACTTATGTGTTTGTGGTGATACTGGTATAAACAAACCTACTGCACATTCACTGGCTTTTAAACAACAAAATTTATTTTCTTACAGATTTGGCAGCTGAATATCTAAGATCAGGTGTGAGCATTGTTGGGTTCTAGGGAGGACCCTCTTTAACTTCTTGTTATTACGTCACACAGCAGAAGAGGGACAAAAAGAGCTCTCTGAGGCACCTTTTATAAAGGCACTAATCCATTTGTGAGGGCTCTACTTCATGAACTAATTATTTCTCAAAGACCCCCCACCTGCTAATACCATCAAATTTTCAATGTGAACTTTGGGGAACACAAATATTCAGTCCATAATACAATCCTACATACAAAGAAACTTCTTATCTAAGCTTTGGCCTTGTATAACCCAATCCTTACATGTAATGTCATAGCGTATGCCTGAGTAGCCCTTGTCTGTTTTGTTAATGCTGTTAATGCTGAGAAGACAATACTAAATATTTACCTGTGGTTCAGGGTTTCTGTGCCCTCCTAAAACAAGATAAGTAAAATATCCGCTCTAACATTTTTATTCTGCTAAGCTAAAGACTTTGAATTTAATCCTTAAAGCTTTGGAGAATTGCTAAATATTTTTGACAGTGAAGTAACATGATCAGATTTGGATTTTTTTTTTTTTTATTCATGCTGTAGCATAGAGACTGAAAAGCCTAAAGGCAAAGACTTTTAGGTGACTATTGTAGTGAGTAATTTGAGCAAGAAAAGATAGCATCCTGACCAGAGAAGAATATGTGAGAACGAAAAGAAAATGCAAGGAATATTAAAGTAGCGGCTACTGACTTGGAAATTGAGTAGCTGTGCTGAGGAGGGAAAAGCTCAAGGAAGTGCTGAGTTTCTAGCTTAGGCCAATGTTGGCGAGTAGAGCCTGCACCAAGAAAAGAATTTCAAGAAGAGGACAGACCTTGGGGCAGCAATTATTACTGGTTCTCTCCCAAATGGTTCTCATTCAATGGGATGTGGGGAGGTTCTTCCAGGAATCAGGAATGACTTTAGCTTTTCCTAAACTCCAGCAAGAAGAAGCCATAAAGATGCATTCAACTTACTGAAATCACCTGCAAACTGTTGCTCCTGCCCTGGCTATGAACTCAGTCGTTGAAGGAAGGCCTTCCATTTCCCAGGTGATGGTGCTGTTTTTTCAAGCATAGGGACATATGTCAGCAATGGTCAGCTCAGCAACAGTGGCAAAAGGCCTCATTTTGATCTGGTCCATGATTATCAACAGGACTGATAGGAGCCATTTTGTGCCAACCTGAGTTGAAATTACTCATCCTGGACTGGGACCTGGTAGAACCAAATGGGACTGACTCTAGAGGGATCATTTTCATGCAATCCAGGAGCCATTCCCCTTTTGCTTTCTCTCTTAACTTTTGGATGACATCGTTTGCATCAATCTCTCTCCCTGCACTAAATAATCTGCTTGGAATAATGACGTCAGGAATAATTTATCAGCCACAATCAGCACCTGCCACTTGTTAAAGACCTGGTCACAGTATGAACTCTGTTGTTAATACTTTTTTTTGCTCACATCAAATCTCATTATTGAGTTGATTGAGTTGGTTGAGAGTTTAACATTAACTTTCATGCCAGTTCTTTGCCCTGTTAATAACCAAGCCAATAAAGGCATCTGCTATCTCTGTTAAGCTAATGAGGCAGGGGAAAGGGATGGAAAGGATGGCAGGTGAGACCAGTTCTTCATCCCCTGAGCCAGCGTTGCCCAGGCAACTTATCCTGCAACTGTAAATGGCAGTGTTTTGCTTTTCAATGTTTTTTTTCTCTCTCCCCTATGTTAGTAGACTTCCATTCCCTAAGGACTGGCCCCTTTGCTTTGTTTTCTCAAAGAACCTATAGGATGAACTGGAGCTAACAGTCTCATGGCAATTCTAGACATAGCTTCTCCATTAATTTCTATTGCTGTCAATTCAATTTCTTTTTGAAAAAAAAAAAGTTGTACAGACTCGGAAGCACAATTTTGCATGTAAAATTACCAGCACAAAGCAGCAAATGATTGCAGTGCTTTGGAAAAGAAAGGCATAGGTTGAAAGACACATTTAAAGAACTGGGGGAGGGGAGGCGGTTCTGAAATGCATATCTCCAGCTGAATAATTGTAATGAGTGCATAAAGCAATAGGAAAAGGGTTTCCAAAACTTGCCACACTGTGAATTCAAAATGCATTACTGTGTCCAAGTTTGCCGTATCAAATAAATTGCTAAACTCAAGTCAAAGGACAGGGAAATAATAGATAACGAAATAGAGTTTTACGTGGGTAGCTTAGAATATGGAATTTCAGTCGAAGCGGATATTACATCTTACTTACAGGAATCCAGCAGAAGTGATCATTGATCAGCCTACGTGAGTGTGTTATTGCTTTGCTTTTTAACCAGCCTACCTTTCATGAGGAAATCATGGAATATAATGAATGAAATCTAGTGTTCAAATGCTTTCTCTCCTAAAAGACTCACACTCACCACTGGCCCTGCAAACAGTCCACTAGTCTCCATGTCCTGGAATCTGGCCAGGTGTAGTGGTGCATGCCCGTAATTCCAGTGACTGGGGAGGCTGAGGAAGTTCAAAGCCAGCATCAGAAACTTTGTGAGCCCCTCAGTGTTTAGTGAGATACTGTTTCAAAGTTAAAAAAAAAAGGGCAGAGGATGTGGCTCAGTGGTAGAAATCTTCAGGTTCAATCCCCGATACTGTGGGGGAGGAGGAATATGGTGTCTGGAATAAAAAGGGTTTGGAGAGAGATCGTTCATTCTGAGCCTCAGTGAACTACTCTGAAAAGTGGGAGCAAGTAAAAGAAAAGCCAGGAAGCATCCATGATGGTGTAGCAATAGCTACACTGCTATTGTTCAGAGACTTGCCTGTAAGAGTCCTTTCAGGTCTTCCATTCTCCAACTGAAGGTCAACACACACCATCAGCTTCCTTTGTTTCCTCCTGGGAAATGCTTCCTAAATCCTTGCCTCTCCTGCTTTTTGTTGCTGGCCACAAAGACTCCTGGCTCTGAGTAGGTGGAGAGGCTTGGTTATTTGCCAGACTATGATGAGGATTCCCCTGGAGGACTATGTCAGAGGAGCTAATGAGTCTCTGTTTAACTGTGACTGTTTGCTCCCCTGGCAATTGGGACAGAGAGAAACACCTTGCACAACAATTAGCTTTTCACAGCCATTAGCAATTTGCAGTCATTAGCACAGGCAGAAACAGCAAATAACGCTCAGGAATCAAATACCACTGTGAGTCACAACAGGACTCCTGAGCAGCATCAGCCCCAGCAAGTCAGGGCTCTGAGGGCCTGAGGTCCTCTGTGCCTACCCACTCCAGCCAATGAATTTTGTGACCCAAAGTGCCTCCATTCTTTCCCATCCTATCCTTGAAAATGCCTGCATCAAATTCATTATTTGTTTCAGTGAAATGTAAATCTTTCAGAGAAAAAGTCTGGAAGATCTAGTGCATAATAAAGCAATTTTGAATTGCCTCAAAGATCAAGAAGCTTAAATAAGGCTGGAAGGAGCCATGTGAATAATTGAAAATTGAATTGAGTGAAACCCAGGGCAGTGCAATGATTTAGTTCCAGAGCTGTTGAAAGCAGCATTCCTGAATACTGAAACCACGTATATCTCTAGCAATAGGGATCAGTTAAATAATTATGCTTCACCCATCTGATGGAATATAATGCACCTTTTAAAAGACAATATTTTGGAACTAGAGTAGATTACCTCAAAAAAGGTTATAAAACATTATTAACATATGATTCCATTTTTATAGTAAAAAAATTATAGACACCTTCTAAAATATTAGTGATCATCTCTGAGTGCTGGGAAGGGCACGGGTGGTTTTTGATTTTCATTCTTTTGCTGTTTTTTGTTGTCTTTCTAAAATAAGCATATGCAACTGTTGGGACTAAACATAGGGGGAAAGAGAGCAGGCTGAGAAAGTAAGCCCTGTTTGGCTCAGTGGGCTTAACATGACTGTAAAGATTTTAAACAAATTATTTATTGAAGTGTAACATCTGTACATAAAAAGGCACATATAGTACATACACAGTTTTAAGACTTTTTCCCCACAAACTTTTTTCCCATAAACCAGGTGCAGATGAGTCTTGAATATAGCGATGGTTACACTTGGTGGTTCCACAAACATGAGTCTGTGTGGTGAAGGGTGACTGTAGGAGGTCAGCTCAGAAGGGGTCAAGGATGCAAGCTGGAAGCCCAAGATGGGAACTCTGAGAGCAAAGGTGGTAAATTTCCATTTTATAGATGTAGAAACTGAGCCACAGGGAGTGATCCTAACTTGAATCCGACAGCTGTTCAGTGGAGGAACTAGGATTCATTCCCAGTAAGGCTTTGGTATCCATGCCTCTTCAAGGAGAAAAAATACAACTGGAGCAACTAGCAGAAGGCCAGGACATCTCTAAAAGCTTAATGACAGGAGAGAAGAGAAAAATGTCTTTAAGGGATGGTGGGAAGGCTCATGTTAGGGGAGAGGGATAGAAAAGCCAGTTTCCAGCAATTTCTACAAAAGGCAGATTAGTGAGGAAATTAATAGTTCTAAGTTTGGTGTTTTTGTGCACTTAAACTCCATGTGGGACTGAGAGGAGCTCTTGAGCCTGGGGAACCAATGGTGCTGAGCACAAGAGCTCTGGCCTCCTTTGGTTGGCTAGGAGGAGAATGGGCTCGGATTGGTATTTTCTTTGTATGTGCTGATTGGTAGGGAAGCTAGGCACTACCCATAATCTTCTCAAATATTCACCCAAACCCCTTTTCCTCTTGGAATAGCTATTCTGGGAGAACCATGCAGAGGGCACACTCTGGGCTAGGAGTGCCTCTAGAGGATGAGAGGTTCATGTTGAAGGCTGAGTGCAACTACAGCAGAAAGTCACCTTCCAAAACAGACTCGGCTCAGGAAGGCTGAGCCTGGGAAATTTCCATTTCACCATTTTGTGAACATCGTCAAAGATAAATGCCTAAGAATTCGGTTTTCTTAGTTAACTCAGTGGTAACACCATGCTATTCTAAGAGGACTGGGCATGAGATTTGTGACCACTTCCATGTAGGTCAGTAGCTTTGTATTGGCACTTAAGCTTTTCATGGATAAGGGCCGAGTGGTGGTTCATTTCTCATCCCCAGTGCTTAATGAAGTGCCTGGTAAGTAGAAGATATTAAAGAAATCCTTACTAAATGTACAAAACACACATCCTAGGTTTTCTAGAGCAATATCACTTTAAATACTCCATGGCTATGTACACTGATTTGGGTCCAGAAGGAATGATCACCAGAGACAGGTCTTAATGTGACTGACAGGAATTTCTGGGAATCTTCAAGAGACATTTCTCAGCAGTAGCTACTATACCAGTAATTATTTATATATTTATGACAGGTAACACTGTATGTTTTTATTGTGGACATTTTTCATAGTGCTTCTCAATAATTCTTTTTTCCTAGTAATAGAAATGAATTTGAAATGAGACAATCAGAGTTTCACAGAACCTAAAATTGAATCCTGCATTTAACACCTTTTCAATCAATTGTTAAAGTCTTACTAAGTGCCAGTCTTATACTCAGTGCTAGGAATACAAAAATCAATAAAAATAGAACTTACAAATGTGAAAATGGACAAATTACAACACAAGTTGGATAGTGTTTATATGACACAAGATGTTTTTGGTTGCATGTAAGAGAAAAATACTGGCTACAACAATAGAAAATTTTAATCATCTCACAAATCATGGAAAGTCTAGATATAGATTATTCTAAATTAATTCAACAATTCAATAATATCATCAAAAACTCCACGTTCTGTTATTGTTCTACTTTTGCTCTTTGGATTGTTGGCTTATGATCACAAAATAATTGTTGCAGCTCCAGGTACCACATTCATACATAATTGCATTTAAGTCATGGAGGAGGGAACTTGCTGCTTCTCTTTATAGCAGGAAACAAAAAAGCTTCTGAGTCGAACCCACCACTAGACTGTCCATTTGATCTTATTACTCAGAACTGGGTCCCTTTCCCATTCCCAAAGCAATCATGGGGAAAGGAAAATAAAATTTACATGCTTGACATAAGCTGACTACCCTCCATTCCTTCTGGCTGGGGGAAGGGCTCCATCCTCCTTTAGCATGTTGCCATGCCCTATAAAATAGGGATCCTAGAACCTAAAGAAGATGAAAAGGAGAGAAGAAATCAACCAACAGTGATTGCTCAGAATTGAGCATATAGTTATATGTGTCAACGTATTTTATTTTCTCTAACTTGATATCATGTCTTCCTGACGAGTGAAGGCTACTCTAAACCCCTGGCCTTTCCCTACCACTGCCCTGACCTGGACTGCCTCGGTGGAGGGAGTGAAATGAGCAGCCAGATTCAACTCTGAACTTACCTTTGAGCTCTAATAACTGTAACCATCCAACCAACTCCAAAACCTGGCTTGTTGAGGTGAGTGAGTGGGAGTTTGGGATGCTGGAGGGAAAGGGTGAAATTCAGGTGAACCAAAGAGATTGGAAGTGGTTTTCCTCCCCTAAAGGCAAGGCTCATATCAGGACTCTGTACTCAGTTGACTTCTCCTGAATGAGAAGGAAGGAGACACACTTTGAGAAGGTCAGAATGGTTCAGCTACCTTCTTGTTTCAGAGGAAAACCAAGTGGAGGCCCGGATTCTACCTTCAGAGTACACAGAAGAGAGCAGTAAAGAATGGTCTGAGTCTGGATAGAAAAAGAGGAGCTGACTGGAGGAGAGCTATATGGAATATGTGACTTCGGTCAACACATTCAGAAACGTGTTTAACAAAGCCATAGTCAATACACTGCTGGCTATATACTGTATGGCATATGTAATATATAACACATATATGGAAATTATACATATACACACATATATAATGTCTATAAGTAGTAAATTGTAATATATTACATTATAATATGTATCCTATATATTATAGATAATGGCTATATAATACTGCTATGTATAATACTGCTATATAAAATTATATATATCATATATGATTGATATGAAATGATATGATGTTATACAATATGCTGTAATATAATACAGTAATATAGCAATACAATATGATAACTAAAATTCAGCATTAACTATATGGTAACAAGGATGCAAAGTACTTTCCTTATGTGATTACTCATAATCATGCCCACAGGTAAGTTCCATTATAATCCAGAGGCTAAGTACCTTGTGCAAAGCTGTTCTGATAAATGGTGGACCCAGGACTCAGGACTGCAAGGTTGTCTGCATCTAGAACACCTCTCTTCACTTCTTTTTTTCTCTTATTTCCATTTGCCTCTTTCCTTACCAAGGTCTCAATGAATTTGGTGATGACGAGGCAAGGTGGTAACCATATATGGGATCCTTGAGAGAATACGAATGAAAAATAGTTTCTGAGGAAAAAAAGATTCTAGTAGCTAGAGAAATGAAAGAAATCATACAAAAATTACTTTAAATGTTTTATTAAAACATTTAAATTTTAAAGATTACCTTAAATGAATTATTTTAATAATTCATTTATAGTGTTCTTGTTTTATAGAGTTCTGGAGAATAAAAAATGGAAGAGGACATTCTGTATCAATGGAAATTATATAAAGAGATGATCTTTCTCCGTCATAGAATTCATCCAGATTTTTGTATGTGTTGTCAAAGTTTTGCAATTCCCTTTGTGTTTTTCAGCAGTCATTTTCTCATCTAGATGGTTCATTCATTTACTCATTAACTCAAGCACTCACTTTCTTCTTTCATTCATTTATTTACCAAGTCATTGGCTGGAGGTTTATGCAGTCTCTTCCATGTACTGGGGACCAAGGAAGATAATGGAGGCTTAAGGATAAAGAATTAGTGTTTCCTGCATTAAATGGGATGGAATGTAATATGCTTACCAGGTGTTTTCCCTTTCTGATCCACTTTCAGTTCCCCATTATCTGTGAAGAGTCCCCTGCTATGGACCCATCTCCTTGGCCTTCTGGAAGGGCAGTGTATACTGTAGGGAATTGTGCATCGTTGATTGAGAACTGGGGTAAAGGTCTGGAATACAAGAGGCTAAGAACAGAGGACATTAGATATGCTACCTGTATGTCCACCTGGAAAAAATTCTGGTTTAGGGAGCCCCTGGAGGTTCTGAGATATCAATTCTATAGGATTTAAAGACATTAAAGCTTCCAGGAACTGATTAACTCAGTATGGTCTCTTCAAGATTTCCCACCACTTACAGAGGGGCAGTGGGCTAAGAGCAGTAGAGGAGCCAGGGGCAATACTTACCCTCCAATTCCCCTAAGGAGTTAATTAACTCTTGCAACTGATAACCCCTCTCCTGGTTTTGGCCTTCGATTGACTCAGGATCCTAATGATATTTCGCCTCTCCAGCACATTCCTCTATATGCTAACAGTGGTGAGCACTGTTCTCAGAACAGCTCTAGAACTGATCACATATCTATATGTCCTGGCTTTAGGCTCTTTACATAAAGTCCCACCCTTGGAAGGTGTTCCTGATCACTAACAATGGCCTAAGTAAAGACCAACTTCCCACAACCATGGTGGATAGTCTAAGCAGGTTTCTATGCCTGAAGCAGTAGGTCTCCAGAGGAGGTCTTCAATTATGATAGTTCCCCAGAAAGATGTGAATGATAAGTATGATGGAAAGGACAGGACAATGGGACCTAGGAGACACCCCACAACCACTACCACCATGGCCTGGACATTTTGTTCCTATTTCTGTGCCCAGATCTCCTCCTCTGCAAAATAAATAGTTCAGACTAGATGAGGCCTCAATTCCTATCAGGCTTGGACAATCTATGACTTTCTGAGTGCTGTATGTTATCTGCTTTCACAGTTTGCACTGAGCATCTTACTTCAGAGATTTAGCACACCCTGATGTTCACTCAAGTGTCATGTTTAGTTTCCATGATAGGCATCTACCAAGCACAGAATCCCTGGGATCTCTGGGCTTCTGGAGTGCAGTGGGTAGATGGCATTCCCAGCCTAGTCCTGGGGGAGACGTGGAAGCAAATCTGTAGAAAGGCACTTTAGTCTATGTTCGAGCCAGTCTGACCCCGTGGCAGAAGGAGTCCTTGGGGGAGGGGAGCCATATCCGAAAGCACTGAAGCATGGGCAGAATGCCCTATGGGCCCACAATCCCAAGTACCTATGAATAGAGAGAGGGGAACAGGCAGTCCCTGTATGCCTATTTGGAATCTAAAGTCCTATCTGATCTTAGAATTGTGGAAGCCTGTGGGACATGGCAATGCTAATGCCCAGAGGCTGGGCACTGTAGTGGAAAGAGAACTGGCTTTGGAATCAGAAGTTCTGGTTTGAGTCTCAGCTCTGTCCTGGCTAGCTACGTGACTAGGAGCAGGTCTCGTAACCCTGATGATGTGTGGGTTTTCTTGCCCGTCCAATGAGGAGCTTTAGGTCTTCCCCAATGACCTCATAGGGCTAGTCTTTCTTAGTTACTTTTTCTGCACGTAGTGTACAAACCCCCAGGTGAAGATGCCTTAGTCACAGTCTGACAACACTATTAGGACAAGATAATGATAAAATTAATATTAATATTTGTAACAAAAATAACATAATCCCTATTGCTACCAGCTGTTGGACTCATTATGTAGCAGACACTCTGCTAAAGACATTTGAAACATTATTTCATTGCCCAAGGCCGCATGGCTACCGCCGCATGGCTACCAAGTGTTATGGCAGGACTCCACACTGACATCTCTGAGTCAAGAGCCAAAGTCTTAATCTCATGTGTGCTTTATTCCTCAAGACCAGTCAACCAGGTTTTTTCAAGTTCTGGCTCACTTGGAGAATGAGAGGGAGATGTACTGGCTTGTCTACTTACATATTAGTAATTAATTAATCAATCAAATTCTTTCAAATACCCATTTCAATCATATGTGGAAAACTATTTACAGATGAAAATTAAATAAATAAGTTTATAGAAAAAAGAAAGTGATTCTATTTTCACTAGCAGCTAACCAGCATGGCTAATAATTGTCTTGTATATGACTTTTTCTTAGGCTTGTAACAAACAGGCATCTATTCCAAATCATCCACCTAGACCAAAAACAAAAACAATAACCAAACCCCCCTAAAAAAAACCAAAAAACTACTGAGCACCTACTCTGTGCCAAGTATCTACAGCATGCCAAGATTCAGTGGTGAATGGTTGTTTCTGACCTTGAGGATCAATCTAACAGAAGATACTGATAGAGAAATAGTTTGGGAATATGAAAATCCTTTGATGGAGGTATGAATAGGGTACTAAGAAAAAACAGAAAATAAGATGCTAATTGGGACTGAGGGTGTCTGAAAAACCTTTCTAGAAGGGGCAACAGCTAAATTGAGTGGAAATATTACCGCTGGTAAAGAGAGACATGGTGGGGAAGAAGGGAGAAGGGATGAGGCAGGACATTTCGGATGGCAGGGTATCTTATGCAATGACTAAGAGACACAAGAGGCATGACCCACTCAGAAAGCCAAAATAATTTGATGAGGACAACTGCAGTTATACAATCTAAGGCAGGAAGGTGATCGCTGAAACAGAGGCCGTGGCATAAAGGGCCATGAGTGTCTTGCAAAGAAGTCTGGACTTCACTGTAATCATTTTGGTAATTAATTGAAAAGGTTCAAGCTGGACGAGGAGGTGTGGAGATGTGGGTCCTAATCCCATTTGTGTGCTACAAAATACACATATTTGCAGTAAACCCACCAAAAGATGAAGATCCAGCCTCAGGTAATGAAAACAGGAATGGAGAGAAATAGAAGCAATAGTGCTTAGCAGAATGAGGCCACCTGATGTACTGACTGAACGAGTTAGGGAGGACATGGTGTGGAGAGTGCTCACCTGTTTTATTCCAGGTCCTTTTCCAGTTTAGCTGAAATGACTCTGTGTCTTGCAATTTTTATATCCACCAACCCATATGTTTTGACATCCCTCAGCTCTTCTTTTGCCCCATATTTTCTTCTATCTCCCAGATATGAACTCAGATGTGAACTGCTGTATCAAATCCAAAATTTTCAGTGGTCTAACACAGTGCAAGTTTATTTCTTGCTCCTGTAAGAGTCCTCCCTGGATAGTCAGTGTCTTCCTTCCACGTAGGTCTCTCCATAGTTATTGCTTTTACCATTCCCTGGGGATTCAGTAGTCTTGGCAGCCAGTGGAAAGGGAAAGTACAGAAAAGATCCATGCTACTTAAAATCCCCACCTGCACATCCAGTAGTAGGAACCTGATACATGAACACACTGACTGTCATTTCTATCTCTATGTACCTATGTAAGGGAAGAAGCACCAAATTTTGTTAGAAAGCTAGCCACCTTGGTCACACCCAAAAGGTTTTAACTCACCCCTGCTCCAGCCCGTTGTCTAATTTAGTTGCTTCTTCTCCTACTTGATAGTGACTGATCTTTGAAACAGTTACAAACATTTTCATTGATCTGGATTAGATATTGAAAAAGGAAAGGATTCCTCCAATGCATAAACAACAGAAAGAGGATAATTCACAAGATAAAACCATGGCTATTTTGCAGCTATGTAGCAAAGGGCACCTGACTGAGAGACAGGCTTCAAAGTTTCATATTTCAAATTCTGGCTTCATCAATAACTTACAGCATAACTTAGGAAGAATGTGTATTTGGATTCTTTGCTCAATTTTTTTTTGCATAAATTTAAATGAAATGTGTACTTTGTTTTATCATTTACTGTTGTAAAAATGTTTTTTACGATTTAATTTTTATTCACAGTACATTTTGGGGGCACATTTCCATGTCAAACACATGTATCCATATAATTTTAAGAAATGACCATGTCACATTATATCTTTCTTTAGCTTTCTTTTCCATTTTTTAAAATTTTTTAAAAAATTTATTTATTTATATTTTTTTTAAACTTTGTTTTAATTAGTTACACATGACAGCACAATGACCTTGACATATCATACATTTGAATTAGATGGGATATATTACAATTCTTATTACACATATAGAGCACAATTTTTCATATCTCTAGTTGTATACAAAGTATATTCACACAAATTTGTGTCTTTATGCATGTACTTTGGATAATAATGATCATCACATTCCACCACATTTATAACCACATGCCCCATCCCTTCCCCTCCAACCCCCCTACCCTATCTAGAGTTTGTCTATTCCTCCCATGCTCCCTCTCCCTACCCAACTATGAATCAGCCTCCTTGTATCAAAGAAAACATTCAGCATTTGTATTTTTAGGATTGGCTAACTTCACTTAGCATTATGTTCTCTAATTCCAATCATTTACCTGCAAATGCCATGATTTTATTCTCTTTTATTGCTAAGTAATATTCCATTGTGTATATATGCCACATTTTTTTTATCCACTCATCTATTGAAGGGAATCTAGGTTGGCTCCACAGTCTAGCTATTGTGAATTGTGCTGCTATAAACATTGATTCGGCCGTGTCCCTGTAGCTTGCTGTTTTTAAGTCTTTTGGGAATAGACCGAGGAGAGGGATAGCTGGGCCAAATGGTGGTTCCATTACCAATTTTCCAAGAAATCTCCATACTGCTTTCCATATTGGCTACATCAATTTGCAGTCCCACCAGCAGTGTATGAGTGTACCTTTTCCCCCACATCCTCGACAACACTTATTGTTGTTTGTATGCATAATGGCTGCCATTCTGACTGGAGTGGGATAAAATCTTAGAGTGGTTTTGAATTGCATTTCTCTAATTGCTAGTGATGATAAACATTTTTTTTCATGTATTTGTTGATTGATTGTATATCTTCTTCTGAGAAGTGTCTGTTCAGGTCCTTGACCCATTTATTGATTGGGTTATTTGTTTTTTTGGTGTTTAGCTTTTTGAGTTCTTTATATACCATAGTGGTTAATGCTCTATCTGATGTGTGAGTAGTAAAAATTTGCTCCCAAGATGTAGGCCCTCTATTCACCTCACAGATTTTTCTTTTGCTGAGAAGAAACTTTTTAGTTTGAATCCATCCCATTTATTGATTCTTGATTTTAATTCTTGTGCCACAGAAGTCTTATTAAGGAAGTTGGGGCCT